TGGGGTCTTCCGTAGTTTGAGAGGACTTGGGGGTAGCCCTAGCCAAGCCCGAAGCCCGAGTCGCCGGGGCTCCCAGACGGGGCCTGGTTGGGCGTCGGCAACTAGTTAGTGTCGGCGAGACCAGCTTTTGTATGGTGGTGACTGAAGTCTCCTCTAGAGGGGGTGGTCGGGCAGTAAGGTTCGAACTGGGGCTCGCCATCTCTCTCTTTCTCGCTCCAGCAAGTACTGGGGGTAGGTCCCGGCTAGCCACCACAGCCATGGGGTTGGGATAGTACGCCACACCGGTAAAATAGCCCTCAGAGCAGCGTGTGCGACCATAGCCAGAGCTGCCTAGATTTCTCCTAGATTTGATGGGATTAGTCGTCCCCTGGTTCTAGCTCTGAAAGGGCCGATGTCCATCTGTACCAGGCCATATGGGAGTGAGGGCATCACGGCCATCTTAAAGATGACGGGGCCAGACTTGGGAGGAAAGCCCTATTTTTGGTGTTTGACAGTCTTTTATTCAGGCCTACTGTAGCTGCCGTGGTTGCAGCTCTGGAGGCGGTTTGGGTCAATGGGGACAGGTTCGTGTCCAAGACCACCCCAAGCCATTTGATCGAGTTCCTGGGCAAGACCGTGAGATCCCCGGAGTGGAAAGCCAGTCGCTCTGGATTTTCCTTGTGGCGCTTAGAGCCTACCTCGCGAGGAGGGATGTACAAGGCTCCCGTTTGTTTGGGGTCTATCTTGAGTCCGAGGCCGCTTGCACTTCGCCGTAGCAGGTGAACCCGGTGAGCGGCGTGTTGAGCTAGTTGGGCTGAGTCCTTACTCCATGAGAGTTGTGCATGGTCGTGCATATACATGAACGACGATCCTTAATGTGAAGGAGTGATTATGGGCAAGGAGTAGAGGATGAGCAGGATTGGCGACCAAGGGGAGCCTTGTCGGGGGCCTGTGTCCGAACGGAACACGGACTGTGCCCATCTGAAGGAGAAACAACGTCGTCCTACGCAGAAGGCTATCGCCGCCTCGCAGATGTTGAGGTGCCATCCTTGCTCTAGTAGAACCTCTCAAGCAGGTGGGGTTGGGCCGACGGGTAAGCTGAATCCACGTCTAAAGTGACGAGGAGATTATGGTAGCCTTGGCGTGTCTTCGTCTCCGCGTCGTGGATGAGAGCTTGCACGAGATCCAGAGCCGATCTTGATGGGATGGCTCCCAGCCCACATCTATCGGTCAGATTACAAAACGCACACTATTTTATGCAGGATCACAAGTCACACACAAAGCGAATACCATCGTTGTGATATTAAGCTCTCATTATGAGCTGACGTATTAAAATTAGAGCCAAAATAATCACATTCCATCAAACCGCCAGAGACTTCTGCCTGTGGCATCAACACCCATCAAGAACAGGATAGCAGTAGTAGTACTAATACTCGAACCCAGGTTGAATTGAATAAAGTGAATTCAAAACCCGTATCGCCCACGAGGGTGCTCGGTCGTGCCCACGACGCCGGTGGGTAAAAGGTACATATGCACTGAGTAGTTTAACCTATGTACACGCGGGGAAAACCCAAGGGGGAAAACCGATGCGTATCCGTGAGATAAAGGGGTAGTGTTGGAGAAGGAAAAAGATGTAGGGGGAGAAAGAAGAAAAAAAGATGGGTTAGGAGGGGAATGAGGTATTATGATGTCCAAACTAAAAGTTTCTGATTCTGATTCTTCGTCATCAGGATTGCACATCGTTCGAGATTGCACAGTCGTGCGTGAGAAAGAGCAGAGAGGGCGTAGGATGCTCCCTGACTGAGCCGTAAAATTCGAGTTGGGGTTTTCTATCCTCAAACAGCTGGTATGAGTACAAAAGCGCTCTAGGATCTAGGCGGCCAGCAAGTGGGTTGTTTAAAGAAGGAGAGGGGGTACCGGAGGAAGTGGCCTCTAAAAACAGACATGCCGCAAAGGCAAGTCTTGGTTGTACTCGGGGATTGTTGAACCGGACGTGGCACTCGAGGAAGTCACCGTGTCCTGCTGCCTCGGCAAGCCACCTAACGAGGCACCTTCTGTCGAACAGGCGGAGGAAAAGTTTAGCCGAAGGGCTGTCCCAGAGATTAGATTGTGGTTTATTAGCCCTCCAGCATGATACCATAACCGTAGGCGGGACCTTTACGCGGCTGGACGAGGCTGGGGGGAGTCTGAGCCAAGCTCTAGGCCCCAGACGCTGTGGCTCCCAGAGAGGGCCTGGTTGGATACCTTAAGCTGCTTAATGTAGTTGAGACCAGCCTTTGTGCGGGGAGATTTGTAGCCTTCTCCGTAGTGAAAGGTCCGGAGGTAGAGTTCAGACGCGATTCCGCAATCTGTACCTTTCCCGGTCTAGTAGGTATCGTGGGTACAGTCCAGCTAGCCACCATAGCCACGGCGTTACGATGGTACGCCAAACCAGGAAGAGAACCTTGAGGGCCGCATGGGCGGCACTAACACCCGGGTATCCTAAACATTCGCCGCCTGAATAACGATCTTTGCTTTCTTTCTCGATTGTCAACAGGCACTCGAACCTCGAAATGGCTTACGATCATCTGACAACTACGTGATGTTATCATGATAAGCTGAGAATTTGGTATGGAGTCAAGCTGAGCCCGCCCGAACTGAGCGTTGTACGAAGGCCAGCAATGGTTATCTAGCCTTCTGCTGGTTCGCTTCATAGCATAAGTCTCAAGAGTTGCTAACAGATTTATCTCGAAAATGGCAGAAAAGCGCACGTTCACATGGCATAACGGGCACGAAGCAGGAATTCCACTTCTGTAAAACGAGGTGTAGGTAGCACTAACAGGAGGAACATAACGACAGATCTTGAATAGTTGTACATTCAGAGCAAATGACTATATTCCGTTGAAGTTCTTAAAGCAACTAACAGGTTCTATGCTAATACGATTATGTCATCTATTCAATATATCGATACAGACTATTCTGCTCAGCGTCAAACATACTACTGGCGGAGTTAGTATATCCGCAACCTCAGACCCCAATGTTTAACTCTCATGCCCCCAAGTCTATCATGATCCTAAGTCCATCCACAAATGAAGATATGTAGAGAATTATATCTATTCAAGTTTCAACCGCCAGGTTAGATTCAGTTCCCAAGCAACAAATGGTTCCGGTCGACACGGGCAAATATAAGCGCAAAAAAAACGCAAGACTTGCAAAAATGCCATGACATGCTCTCAGGCGGCTGTTATTCAGACCTGGTTACAGGCGTCGTTCACATCGAAGAGCTAGTGGAAGGGCGATCGCAGGCGAGCTTCTCATGGTGAAACACACTTTCGAACACACTGCTGTCTAAGATTTGCACCTTCGTCTTGCAGACATCAGCATGGAGAGGGTAACCTTGGCCAATCCAGAGACGTCCAAACTGCTCACTGTTCTTGTAGAATAGATCCTCGAAAAAACGGGCGTAGCCAGCATCATCACCAATGCAGAGAACGACAAATGTGTCGGGATGCCGAAGATTCGAAATGACTTCCTCTGTGTTATGGGTTAGCTGTCAACAGTGCTCTTCTCTATCACCTGAGCAACTGTACCTGTGACTCAAGTGCCTGCATACCTCTTATCTTCCAATCCGCTGATTCTTTTCCAAATGGAACACTCCAGTAAGTCGACTCTGGCGCCCTCGAAAACCCGTCGATGAATCTTTCGAAGCAGGAAGTGCTCCGGATAATGCCACAACGTATAAGTGCTCGACTCAAGCCCCGTGAGTTGGCAAACACCCTGATCTTGATAGGGATTTCTGGTCTGTTTTGTAGTTTTAAAATCTTGCGTATAGAGACAGCAAGTTCGCGGGCTGCTTGTCTACCGCCCTCGTCACCCTTGGCTAGAAGGTCAGGACAGAACTAGAAGCAAACCAAGTCAGCCGGAGTGCACACGTTTTCGAGTGAGCCACGTCGCGGGTATTTGGAATTTTATAAAGGAGGTAAAAGGGGGCCTTACGGGTAGATTGTCTCCGTCAACAACCACGCAAATAGTCGGAGGTGACAGACCGTTGTCGAGGAGTCTTGTAGTCGCGAATTCCACCATTCGTTGGAAAACTGTTTGGGGATCTCGCGGTTGGGGTAGACGGGAGAGAAGCTCGGAACCCATCTGGTTGACTCTTCGAGAATGAGGTGGCTGCCTACAGAGGCCGTCGATCGGTACCGTATGACAGGCCAGGCACTCACTACCCCAAGAACAATGGAACAATTACAAGGATACGGCCGGCCGTGGGAAGGTTATTAAATGCGCGCGGCAACACTGATGGGGGAGGTTGTAGATCGTGTGAGCTTGGCGGAAGATGAAAGGACTGTATCACTAAAGACCTGAGGCCTCGTGGACGGAGGTCAAAGCACCAAAAAATGTTGAAGTCTGAGTCTCTCGTTCGTATAAAAATAAACGGCGGAGAATGGAATGCTTCCGCGTGGGGCAGGTAGCCTAAAAACGAAGTGACAAGGGCCTGCTGCCTCTGGATGAGCTGTCCTGTATGTGTATGGTATCTAACACAGGGCTTGCCCAAACAAGGAGTTTTATATAGATATCCAGTGACAGACTCCTGCCGATCTATTAACTGATTTTCAAGTATTGCTCAAAGAATATGGAAAGACTGGTAGGATGCATAGCCTACTCTACGGAGTTTATCATATCGCCTGCATTGTCGGTTATGGGGCGTCAGAAAGATATCACCATTCTCGAGTCGCTATACATCGAGTTCAAAACTTTGACACGAAGTAACCTTCGCTGGCGACATTCCTTTCCGCAGGTTTTGGAGAGGTGCTACTTACGAGAGCAAGCATATACCTACGTTTTCTACTATTTTTTACTACGCAGAGATCAACGATTTCAAGGCTCGCCCTCACCCAGCTGCAGCACAGGAACGTCATCATCAAGACAATGGGGCGCCAGGCTGTCCAAGACGCCAACCATAGGTACCTGTTTTGGTGTCCTTTTTGCACCGTATACTTGGGAGGCTGTCGTCCCAGATATGGATCTGATTGGGTGGCACAATGCCAACGCAACCAACCATCCAGGACCGTAACGTCGGGTTCTTGAAACAGACCAATCAGAGGAAAAGTTTGCGGGATCAACCAATCAGGAGCGGTTACCCCGAGCAGCCCACCCGCCAGCCGTCATCCATCCCGGCCCTACGAAAGGCTAGGGACGTCAAAGAAATCAATGCCCTCGTCTCTGTCGCCGAAAAACTCTATGCCGCGAATGAGAACGTTGAGAAGAGCCTCTCCTGAACAGATCGAGAAGACGGTCGCAAAGCCCCTCATCTCAAAGCTTCACTCTTTCCTTGCCCAGGCGGCCTGCCTGGGCAGATGGTCAGCACCCGGCCTTCTCCTCCACCATCCTCACTCTCGAACGACCTAGCGCTACAAAGCCAGAAGTGTCTTCCAGGACGGCCGGTAACAGTCCAGGACTCCACAGTCTTCTGAAAATCACCAAGGATCACGTACATACTCCCAAGCGCTCCAGGACTAACAAACCATGAACCCTAACCCAGCAACCGATCAGATCAACACTACAGGCGCGCTCAAAGACAACCGCCCTCATCATTCAAAGACGCTGATATCTCTGGAGTTTTTACCCGTTCAAGTCAGGTTTCTGTATTGAACTTTTCGAAGAGCTCTCTCAGAGATCAACTCGCGCAGCAGGCTGCAGCCTATGGCTTCTGCAATGAACCCAAAACGGTAACATATGCTTGCCTCCTGTTCGAATGCCCCCAAAACGATCAAGGCATATATGATGGCAGTGATTGCCCGACGGAGCCTCTCATTGCTGAGGAGGGTGAAGTGGCCATTGAACAGAAAGCGCAAGTCCGCCACCGCCTTTATACCCCAGGCTCCTATTTAGTCATTCTCGAACACAAGGTCTCTCCATTCTCGGCGTTTGGATCCGAGCCAGCCAAATTTCTCCCTCGCAAACCCCGTATCTATACTTGCACCAAGTGCTTTGGATTTCATCACGTCGACAAATGTCGGTATAACCCGGTGACAAATTGCGGGATCAGAGGCAACACAAACTAATCCCACAATGCCCCTGCTACTAGACATCCCTGCACAAAAGCTGGTCTCGTCTGCATCAGGCAGCTCAAGGCATCCAGCCAGGCCCTCTCTCTGGGAGCTACGGCGTCTGGGGCGTAGAGCTTGGCTCGGACTCTCCGATAGAAGTGGGCCATGATGCCACTGCACCGCAGGTTTGGTCACCAGTGCATAACTTCGCGAACACTGTATGCTTAACGACATCACAAGTAAATACCAAGCAGCCACTTTCGGAGCGAACAAGTAGTCTCAGTGAGTATATGATGCATGTCTTAGTTTTCCAGATGTGTCCTGACCAAAGAATTTTGATATGAGACTGAAAACCGCAGGTTAAGGTGTAGGGTTGATTAGGGCCCCTCTCCAAAGTCGCCTGCTAACACTCATATAGGATCTTCGGTAGCGCGATCAGGGTAGCAGCCTAGTAGTTGGAACGAAGCTTATTTGAACCTCCCTGGCAAGTTGTAGAATTCATCTTCCCATCTATCACCTTTCGACCAGAATTGGTTCTGGAGGGAAAAAAAAAAAAAAAGAAAAAGTTGGGAATACGCCTATCTACGCTTTCTTCACCGATATTCCCAGCAGCTTGTTATCTCGAAATCCTTCCAATTGATCCAGTCATCAATCCTTCATCTTTAGTGATTGATAATTTTGCATCGCTAATTCAAGTAATTTGGCTATTCATCACACCGCTTATTGTTGTCCTCAAACTTCGGCTGCACGCCACAAGTCAACAGGAGAAACTGATGACCAACGCCTCAAAGCAAGAGAGATTACGCAGTTGCATGATAGGCCTGACTCCAGTAGTATCATTATTACTGGGCGCCCTCCCCCTCTCGAGATGTTGTCCGCCTTTCCCGTCTCGAACCTGGAGGTACAGGAGGTATGTTGCACAACCATGTGCTAGCGCAATTCCCGCTACGGCCATTTTTTTTGACGTTGAGACCATCAGCTCTCGACTCCCATAAATTGAGGCTATCGTATTCCATCGGACGCCTATTGGAGGGCTGTGGGATGTGGGCGGTTGCTCCAACCGTTGCCCGTTGAGATGAAACATCGGAACAGCCCGACTGAACCATCGTTCTGGTTGCTCTGATAAAATCGGTGTCCGGCTCCGCATCATGGCGTCCCTTCCAGCTACACCCTTACCTTGCTTGGCCATTCGGTAGCGCATCACTAGGAAATTTCAACAGTACCTGCCAAGTACGCATAATGGTTGAAACGTTCTGTATCCTTTACCAGGCCAGGTACATAGGCGCAGGGCGCGAATGGAAATATTGAGGGTAGAAATCCCCCAGCAGAATCATCTGATTGCTTCAGTATAAGGGACATGGATTCTAAAAAAAAAAAAAAATAAGAAGCCCGACGTCCCCAATCACCAACAAAGTGATCGGTTGAGCCCGTTTCCAATTCCAATTTCTGAGAAGGTCCCTGAGCCGCACTTTCGCCGGGAGTCTGTGCGAGATCTCGGTTCCCGATCTGCATTTCTTATCCACATCAGTCGAGACCAAGTGATATCGATTTTTGGGGTCCTGCTGATCACGCATAATAGGGAACCAGGTAAGCGCAGTCACTGACAAGTCCCAGGTCCCATGGGATTGGGTCAGCCAATCATTCGTTTCTCCCTGAAGACGCTGCGAGGTTTGCGGGGCTGCAAGACGAATTTGCTTCATCACAGCTTTTCATTCCTAGTTTCGAACCTCTCCATAGTCATTTCCTTGGGGCAGTGGTGAGAGATATTGACGTACGCACCAGTAATTTGCGTTATACACTGTAAATTTAGGCCGCGATGAGATGATATCAGCGCTCTTCGGGTACTCCTAATCGAAATTGGTATAGCTGCTAGGTTCGTAAAAGTGTAATTAGCGTTCATAAACAAGTAACTAAAGGTTTAGCATATGCCAAATTCTAAATTGTGACGATCCAGACAGATCTCCTGAGATGGGTTCGAGAGATGCCAGGTCTTTGGACCTGAGAGACAAGAGTTCTCACACAGCCAAAGTGCCCGTTGTCGATACTAGATGGTAAGCAACTGTTTGTACTAATGCTAACTGGAGAGCTTCTTCGGCCAGACGGCCCTGCCTGGGATCTATATGCATCACATATACTTTTGTGGCTTCCCTTCCTTCCTCCTTCACAGCACACACACTGTCGAGGGTAAACATCCTTGGAGGTTGGGGAACATCTTCCCAATGCTTGATTGTTGTTGGGGGCGGATATCCGAGTCTGATGCAATACCACTCCCTTTTATTTTGATCAGTTTTAGCAACACGGAAGCCACTTTGCCGGATAGAGCTGTTGTTGGTCGTAACATATATCCAAAAAAAAAAAATATATCCGGCTTACACGACACAGGAGCCCCAACAGTTCTTGGCGCGCCTAGCGGATGCAGCTCTACAGTGTCATGCAGTGTTATTGGTCGAAATCCGTGGCTGTAGAAGAGAAGTCATATAATCCCCCTGTCAGAGGCAAAAAGTTGAAGCATACAACCGCGCTAACATAGGTTGTCACATTTCGCTTCTCTGACTACAACGGGCAAAATCGCCAACGACCCTACTTGGCGAGGAGAACAAAATAAACTTCGGTGAGCAAAAGCTACAGAGCCATCCGCCAGCGGGGGGGCGCACCTGAATCAGTGGCGTACCATATCCGCGCTCAAACAAACTGTACAGGGCCTAGTGGACTCGCCCGCAAATTACCTCATTGGCCTGGGAAGCATTCGAGGCGATTCCAGAACCTTGGGCTCGGGTCTCCCCCGGCCGGTTTTTGGCTCCAGAGTTCTGGTCAGCACTAGTCGACTTTGCCAACATGTCATGTCACACGGAAATGGCGATTCCCGGCGGATGAATACCTTGTCTTCGGCCGGAGAATCAAAGGCAAGACGAGCGCAGTGTGCAGGATTTGATTCCCCTTTGGGCAAGGACTTCGTTGATTATATTTTGTTTTATTATATTCTTCTGGTTCCGGTCACTATAAGATCACTTAAGAGGCTGATATGCAACCTAAGCCGCGAGGCTTAGGTCCAAGAAATAACTGAATAACGGAACATGCGAGTGTTTATTTGCATAATTATATCTTGGCACAAACCTGTCGTGGCTACAGCATCCGACGGAAAATAGCATTGACACAGGATAACTCATTTGCGAGTGTTGCTGGATATAAACTTCACATCTCACAAAAGCACCATCATGAACAAACACAATGAGCCCCGGAAATAAGTTCCAGATCATGACCATTCTCTACCAAACACCTTAGACACCCTCTTCCTAGTAACATCAAGACCCATCCATGAGCAGAATAGTACGAATAATGATAATAAGTACCTGGGTATCCAGAAACATACACCCTTCATAGTGATATACACTTGAGCATTCACAACTCGAATCATCCTGCTCCTTCACCATGAATCATCAATCCTGTCCCCTCGCCCTTACACATCATCCCCATCAACTCCCCTCCCTATTATTCTACAACCCTACCCTCGCCCCAGCAACCAACCCCTCCCACTCCTGGCCCCCCTCAACCTCCCAAATCCTCACTTCCCTCCCCACTTGCTTTGCTCCCCCAACAGGGGGCAGCCTAATCTGCAACCTCGCAACCCCCCTCCTCCTTTCTCTGTCACCCTTAGTACCCCGCTCGCCGCCCAACGACCCAACCAACTCTTTTTTCCTCTGTTCGAAAGCAACCAACTCCCTTCCCCTGCGCAAGACATCCCTTTCCCACTCGCGCCAGACCGCCCACTCCTCTTTCGCGCGCGCAAGTTGGTAGGAGGGAGTTGTGTTGGCGGGACGCCAGGTAGCGATCTTGGCCTTCTCCTTCTCCTTCTCCTTGCCCTCCGCCCCTTCGGCAGCGCCGCGGCGGGCAGACATCGCAGAAAGGTCAGGGATCTTGGCCCTCGTGGCAAGGTTAATAAGCTCGCCTAACACCGCACGCCCCTCACCCGCCAGCTCGGCCGACACAAGCTTGGTAGATGAAGAGGAGGGTTTGCTAAGCGGCTCAGCAAGCCACGCCATGCCGGCACACTCTCTCCCCCTGACGCGTCTATTCTCCTCGCGCAGGAAGCGTACCGCCGCCTGGAGACCCTCCACATCCCTTCTCAGCTTCTCCAGCTCCTTAACAGCAGCAGCACTAACAACCTGCTGCTCCTTACTAGCCGCCCCCGCAGCAACCGCCCTAGCCGTCCCAGCCGTCGCGGCCGCAGCCTTCCACTTATCCCTCTCCCCCTCCAGCACCTTCACCTCCCTCTCCAACGTCGCCACAACCTCCGCCGTCTGCGCCAACTCCCCCCTCACTTTCTCAAGCTCCAATTCCACTTCTTTAGCCTTCACTGCCCTAGCCGCGGCATCCCTGGCTCTGGCCTCCAGCGTCTCAATCTTGACCACAGCAGTTGACAAATCCTCCTCTCTGATCGCCAACTGTCTGCGGAGCGCCCCCAGTTCCTCGCGTAGGCGGGCTTGTTGAGCCTCGGCGTCAGCGGGGGCCGTAGCGGCTGCACGGAGTTCCGCTGCCCGGAGGGACCAGGGCGTAGGAGATGGGTCGAATTCGGCCGTATGAGACAAATCGGTGGCGAGGGCTGATAAGTCGGTAATCTGCCCCGTCAGGACGCGCAGTGTTGTCATATAGGAGGAGAGCGGGTCAGAGTCGGAGGTGTCGAGTGTGCGCGCGATGGTATTCTGCACCGCGACATACGTCGCCTTAAAATCCGCCGGCGCGTCGACGTCATGCAGGAATTTATGCAGATCCGCCCCAATCCGGCGGGACATGTCCGCCAGCTGGGCAGCATTAGACTCGGCCTGCTCAAAGGCATCAAGGGAGTCCGGGGTGAGCGACAAATTGCGGGCCCGTAAATCCTCGAGCGCGCGCACCGTCTTCTGGGCGATGACTTTGGCGGAGCGGGTTTGGGTCACGGCGGCGTCGACGCGCTTCGCGAACTGGGACGCGAGAACGCCCTCCTCATCGTTGGTCTCGTCGACCTGCACTGCCCGCTGCACCATGGACTTGACCGCGTTGAGGGCGACCGCCGCAGACTCGAGCTGCGCTTGCATGAGCAGCGCACGCATGTGCACGTCGTCCGCGAAGGTCTGCAGATCGCCTGCAAAGTGAACCTCGCCCAAGTGCGACATCAGCGCCATGGTGCGGGTTAACTCGTCCGCGCAAGCCTTCTCCTTCAGATCGTCTCTCCTCAAGCCATCGATCCACGCGTTCAGCGCGCGCTCGACGGGCTCCAGCTCATACAGCGCGCCCTCGTAGCGAGCAAATTGCTCCAGATCGCAGCGCGAGATGGCAGCAACAAACCGGTCGCACATGCACGCGACCCAGGTCAAGCGGTCGATGGCGGCACAGCCGTCAAAGACATCGTCCTCGTGGCCGGGCGAGTCGAACGAGTTGACGCGCTCGCGCAGGAAGCCAGCGACGAGATTGGCCTTGAAGGAGAGACGCTTGAAGCGGAGGAGAGCCAGGACAGAGTCGCGGTCAGATTGGAAGGAGTCTGGCAAGAAGAGCTTAACAATATCGAGGTGCTGCTCGGCCTCCTGGGCCTCCATGCGGCGGAGCTCGAGGTCGATGGCTTTGGCTTGGGCTTTGGCGGCCGAGATTTGCAGTTTCATGTTGAGGTCCATCATGGCGCGCGAGCGGGAGGCGAGCTGCTCGGACTCATGTTCCGTCACGGCGTGCGAGGCGCGCATGTCTTCAAGGTCGGACTGCAGGGAGGTGACCAGCTCGCGGAAGCGAGACAGCGTATACTCCATGTCTTCCATGGCCTCTTTTTGCTGGGCGGCCTGCCGGGCTTGCTCGACGATGATAGCGTCCTTGAGCTCAATTTCTTCCTGCATTTCCTTCTCGTTCTGGATGTGGTTGATTTCGAGCTCGTCGTTGATTTCTTTGAGGGCCTCGAGGTCGTCGATGATGGCGCGGAGCTCCTTGATCTCTTCCGCCTGGTTCATGTTTTGCTCCGTCAGACTCTCGATCAGCTCCTCCGCGCCGAGGGCATTGTTAAGCTGCTCGCGCAGGTCCTCAACCGCAGCCTCACTCCGTGCCAACGACTCCTTGCACACAGCATACTGCTCCTTAACCGCCTCGTACTCTCTCAGATCCTCCTCCATACTCCTGATCTGCGCCCTCAGCTCGTCCTCCTGCTCCTGGCTCAAATCCCTCAGCCGAATCAACGCCTCCCTCAACCTCTCATTGGTTTTCTCCAGCTGCAGCCAACTCGCCGACTGCCTCTCCTCGGGCGACGTGCCCTTCGTCAACTCAGCATTCTCCTCCCTTAAGATCTCCACCTCCAGCTCCAGCTCCTCCGTCTTCTGCTTCAGCGCCTCTAGCTCCGTCTTGTACATCTCCGCCATTTCCTCCGCCATTTCCCTGTCCAACGTCGCCAGCTCCATCGCCGTCTCGTGCTCCGCTTGCATCTCCTCCACGTTGTGCAGCCGCATTTCCGCCTCCTTGAGCTGCCTTCGCAATTCGGCAATCTCCGCCTGCTGCGGCTGGTACTTGATCTGCAGCGTTTGGATGATCCGTTCAAACTTGTCTCGTTCGCCCTTCACTTTCTCAAGACTGTTCAGCTTCTCCCTATCCTCCATCCTCTTCTTCTCCAACACCTTCAGCTTGGCTTTCAAATCTTCAATCTCCTTCTGATACGCCTGCGCTTGCGCAGCCGTGATACTCGGCGCAGGCGACGGTCCAGCCGAAGGTCGTCCCGCCGAAGGCGCCTTGCCTTGTCCCCCCTTCTCAACCCCTCCAACCGACAATTTCTCCAGCGTAGCAGCCCTCGTCTGCACCGGACTGACCGGCACCGAACTCTCGTCATCATCACTACTTAACTTTGTTGCTTGTGACCTCTGCTCATCCCCACTACTGGCCCCTCCTCCGCGGGTCAACTTCCTCGCGGTAGTCTCCGATCCGGACAGAGACTGCTGCGATGGGGAGGTTGCATGTCTAGCCGGGGCCCTGATTCCCGGCTTCGGCGCAGCTAGCTTGTTTCCCCCGCCACTTGACGTCCTCGTGGGAGCTGTACTCGCCGGTCCTGATGCCGCGCGCGTGGGTTGTTTAGCAGTGGGTATCGGCGGGGGCGGCATTGTTCTTGAACTTGTTGACGGAGGTCTGGGTCGCATGCCGCCGCCCATTGCGCTCGACGCACCAGGTTTTGCCAATCCGCTTCCGCTTGCGGGGGTCGTCGAGCGGGAGGGGACTCTGCTGGAGGGGGCTGTGCCTGCGAGTTGTTTTGTCGGCGACGTGATCCCGCTCGGTGGGCGATTCGTCGAAGGACGTTGTCCTGGACTCGGACTCGGAGCGTTAAGCGACATTCTCTTTGCCAAGTTCGGATCTGGAGGAGGCGGTTTCCCCATCGTCGAACTGGATAAACTACTCGGCCGACTGCCCGGCTTCCTCCCCGCTTTCTCCATTGCCGGCCGTGACGGCGGTCTTGTCACTTGCTGTGGCGGCGCCGGCTCATCAACCAACGGAGCGACTTTATTCGGCCTTACGAACATGCCGTATCCCATCTCGCAGTCGAAGTAGCGGTCGCCGTGCACGCTGCCGTCGTTTTTCCCGGTCGGCTCGTCGAGCTCAACGCCGACCCATTCGTCGGGGGCGAAGGCGGTGTGCCCGACGAAGCGTACGGTGCCGGTGCGCCCGTCACTGAGCTGGATGCGGAGGCCGGGAACTAGGTCCATGGTGGGGGCATTGGGATTTTCTGACAATTTTATTTTTTTTTCTTGGGGGAGTAGAGGATTGTTGGTTTGGAAGTCGGGAATGGTGCTGTGGTGTGGCGATTAATGTGATGATGCGCGTCGTCGTGTCGTGGAGGTTACACCGCTTAGTAAGCTGTGCCAAGAAAGTAACCATCCGCTATGAGAGCCTTGGGAAGGCCACACGGTACGAACACGGTATAAAACTGTGTATGAAACTGTGTTTGCCATTGCTTTTTGGTTTTTTTTTTTTTTCCTTTGTTGCACAAAAGCCGTTTGCTAGTGAGACGTTACACAGAGAGATTTTTTGTTGGGGCTAAGACATTGATGTGATTTCAGCGATTGAGGCTTCCTGACACTCATTTCAAGCAGTGAAAATAGAAACGAAGAAAACCAGGCTTTCTCATTCTCAGTCTCGGTCAGCCCCTGACAAAAGTAAACAATGGAATCAGGAGGTTTTTTGTGGAAGTCTCAAAACTCTTCTGTTATATATATATAAAAACTGCACAGCTCACTTGCTCCCACATAGAGTCAATTGAGCCCTCTTTAGGTAATCCAAACAAATCGACTTCTACAAATATTTCGAGATCTACCCTACATCATCTCCTACCCTTGAAGCCCTACACCAATAATCCCACACCTGGCGGCTATCCCACATTTAACGAACTATCTCAATATCTCAGTATCCCCAGTCTTAATCAAAACCCGGCATCATTGCTTCATCAGCTAAAACCTCCCCTCCCACCCGACCCCCTTAACCCACTCCACCACCTCAAACCCGACTCTCCTGCCCAACCTCTCCCCCACCCCTCTCTGTGAAGCCTTCACACAAATCACCCCGCTACTCTCAATCTCTACCCCCTCTTGTTTTGTGTCTGCCACAGCCTGCACATACACTACCAGATCGGGTCCCACGATGCCGCGCCAGAGGGTCGCCATCCACTGCCAGTGATCGATTGGCGCGTAGGTGTCGAGGATCGGGATAGAGAGGGAGTGCAAGTCCGAGAGGGTTAGGGAGTAACCTGTGGAGAGGAGGGCTATGTGGAGGTTGGGGCTGTCGGAGATGAGGTTGGGGGGAGTAGGGCTGTAGGAAGGTTTGCTGGTGTTTGCATCCACCATCTCGACGTCCTGCTCGCCCTCCTTAGACCCAGAACCAGACTCAGTCGTCGCACCAGACCCCTCGCTCGAGACACTCCTCCTCTTCTCCTTCTTCTCGAGCCCCTCGCTCTGTACCATCAAAGCCCCATTAGTAACCCACATTTCCACCTCCCTCCCCCACGCATGCCACTCCCCAACAACCCTCAAATACCCCTCCAACGTCTCCTCAACCTTCTCACTCCCCCTCCAGCACTTCACCGCCCACCCTTCTCTCTCCGCCTCCCTCTTCAGCGCCTGCTCAACTAGATTTGCGACCGCCCTGCGCGTGTTCCCATCCGGGCCGTCGATGGAAATGATGGGGCCGCGGGTCGGGGTAGGGGTTTTGTCGCCTGCCGCTGAGACGCATGAGGTGTTGTTGTTGTTGTTGTTGTTGTTGTTGTTGGAAAGAGGAGGGGCGATTTTGGAGAGAACGCGGAGTTTGGAAAGGTAGTGTATGGACATTATTGAGGTCTTGGTGGAGTGGCGATCGTGATCATGGATCCTGCTTGCGGGAGGGATATCCTCGAATCCGAGGCGTGGAGCGTGAGGGATTGTTGATTTAGCTGTCGTAAGAGGACCAAATTGCCCTGCTGATGTTGATGAAATCGTGTTGAAGCTAAAGTGACTAGGATCAGGAGTAGGGTTGTTCGTGATCCCCAGCCCAACACTCGCGGCAGAACCGCGATGCTCACTCGACACAGCACTGGCCGGGCTGGCACAACGAGAGGTGTCCCTTGAGCTGGAGTTCGACCTTGGTCTGCTGCCGCTGCCGCTCATGAAAATGGGCAAAGTCAGTTCTGAACTTTGACCTGAAGCTGAAGCCGTCGCAATAGCAGGGCTATGCCCCGCCATCGCCGTCATCGCCGAAGTCTGAACCACCCCGATAGAGGATGACGATCCCGACGATAGTGAGTCAGACCGAAATTCAGGACGGGGCAACCCCCTTGTCTGAAGGGGGGGTAGGCGCAGGTCTTCGTACTCTCTCTCCCTGTCCCTCTCTCTGGGACCGTCATAATCCCGGTCCCTGATGGAGGCAGCGGCCGTGGAAAGACTGCCCCTGTGATGCTGGTAGTAAGGCTCACCTCGCCTGGGGGTGCTGCTTGTTGCTGGAGTGAGAGGGATGGGTGTTGGCGGAGGAGGGGGCAGGGCGTACCCTCGGTCATGTTCATGTCCATGCCCATGAACGGCTGACGAAGAAGTTGTCGTGTGAGTTTTGGTAGGAAGCGGCGTACCAGTCGACCCCAGTGCGTCATACGCCCCGTGATAAATCCCCTGCTGCGACTGATAGCCCCCCGGATAGGAGTACCCCTCGTTCTCCCTCTCCCTCTGGGTGTGGGTGTGATACAGCTGGTAACCATACCCTCTCTGCTGCTGCTGACAATGGTAATGATGCTCTCTGGAGAAAGGAGTTGCCACCGTGGATGACGGAGAAGGAGTTGGCGGCGGCGGCGGCGGGGGAGGGGGCATCCTTTTCTCGAAGGAGCTGCTGCCATACCCCGCTGTCAGACGGGGGCTGTTGAGGCCGAGGCGGACGAGACTGGCATGGGTGGTGCTGGGGAGGAGTGAATATGGACCGGGGAGTAGATTCGGCGTTTGGTGGTGTTGGAAGGGGGAGGGAGAGGGGTAGTAGGGTTTTGAAGAGGCTGATGGGTAAGGGTATGCCGAACTGTGCTGCTGACTGTAGACAGTAGATGAGTGAGAAGAGTGGTGAAGAGGGCCGCAAAACCCCCCAGAACCTGGGGTAGCCATTGAATGCGAGAATATCGCTCCCGCATACTGCTGCTGCTGCTGCTGCTGCTGCTGCTGCTGTTGTTGTTGTTGTTGTTGTTGTTGTTGTTGTTGTTGTTGTTGTTGCTGTCCATAACTTGACCCGGACTCAGTACTCCCACTGGTACTCGTACTCAGCACCCTCCTTTTCTTATTATTCCCCTCCCCATCCTCCCCCTCATCCTCCCTATCTTTCCTCACCCCCAATCCCTTAACACTCCCCGCACTAGGAAAAGGCGTATTCGGCGTTCTCGGCGTCCCCCCACCTCCGATACTCCTCCCTCCACAACGCGGACACCTCTCCCCCTCGCCTTTACTATCCACACCAACCCCCTTGGTCCCCTGCGCAGTGCCAGACCGGTTATTCCTCCTCGGCTGATATCGATACTCGGGGTACTGGCGCTGGTGCCGCTGCTTCTCTTCCTCCGCCAGGGCCTTCCATTGCTGCTTGCATTCTTCGGGCTCTTCGCGCCATTGCTCGCCGATGATTTTCGAGATTTCTGGATTAGCTAAGCCGGGGTTGGCTTGGACTATTGCAGCTTGGTGGTGTTGTCGGTAGAGGATGAATGCTGCTTTCGTTAGCTGTGGTCTGCTTGAAAAGAATTGTTTTTTTTGGGGGGGGGGTTGGGGGGAACTCCAGGGGGAAGGCGTTGAAGTGTGGTTGGTTGGCGTTGGGGTTAGGGTTGGCTTAGAGTGCAGGCATCGAAGCTTTTACCCGTGAGCTCCAACCCCCGAACCTTCTCAGAAAAAGAAGGACTTATAAATGCAAGTACTTACCATTCCTAGGCCTAGGAACCTTAGGCGCCGGTGTACAAAGACAAATCCCCTCACCAAACGGCCCCATCCCCGTGGCCGTCCCAAGAGGCCTGGGACTATTCTTACTCCCACCATCATTCCCCTCCGCCGTTGTTGTGCCCCCCGCGCTGGGCGTAGCTGTAGCAGTCATACCACCTGTGGGTGTGTTCAGACTCAGCTGATGATGAACCTTTGCTTGGCGATTCGCTTCCTCGGTGTTGATAGTCGATGCGGCATGGGCCCGTTTGCGGGTTAGGGGACCGGGGGGTTGGGGAAAGGGGTTTTGACTTATTGCTTCCCCCGGCCCCGCTGCTGACTGATAAGTTGTGCTTGCGCTTGAGGCCATTGTGGTGTCAATGGCAGACGAGCCTGCGCTTGTAGCAGCGTAATCGGTTGCCGGCTCGCGGTTTCCAACCCCCGGCACAATCATCCCCCCTTTCCTCGAAGCAAACGGAGACGAACCACACCTCCTTCGTGTCTCAAGCTCCTCGTCTGGTGCAGAAAAGGATGACGAGGGAGGGCTGAAATGGTCCCTGTCGGGTCGAGGTGGAGCCGGAGTCGAAGCAGCCACAGCTCCTGACTCGCGAGTTCGTGCAGTTATGGGAGAACTACTCGCTGAGGAGCGGGCCGCTGCTGCTGCTAAGCGGGTAACTGGGCCGGAGGAGGACGGAGAGGGTGAGGTGTTCTTAGTATCTGTCATTTTTGGTTGCTTTGTTTTTCCTCCTGGTCTTGTCGAGGGAACAATGGGGCTTGTCGGTGTCGTGCAATCGTCGAGATCGCGGGTAGGTTGACAAGGATATTTATGAGACTAGGTCAGACCCAGAGGAGATAATGACCTGATGGTTCTATCCAGTCAGTCAGTCAACGGATAAATGGTTGACGATGAACTCTCGATCTTCTCTGGTCTTACTTGCGGAGCTGTTGAACACGATGCCGAACAACTCGAGCCAGGCAAACCAACACAGACCCGGCTCGTCTTGCCTGCCTAACCCAACCGACTAAACAAGTCGATGGCAACACTTCCTATCAGACGACGATAACAATGGTGATAACAAAGTGAGATTCTAATCTCTCAGATTATGATCAGACTCCAAAAGAAAAAAAAAACAAGCGAGTCGACGATAAAGACAAGAAGGAACAGAGACACCACAACCGACGTCAAAGAGGATCCAAGACCAAACAGAAAGGCAGACTGTCCCACTGGCTGACCGACCGACTGACGGATGGACCTGTCGTCCTTGTCAAGATCAAGGTTAATCAATAGGTGTCTGAGTTAACTTGACTTGTCTGGTCTTGTCTGGAATGGCGTCGTGAGGAGGATGGAGTGGATAGGTACGTCGGTGGATAGGTCGGTAGGTAAGGACGAGCAGAACGGAAGGATAAAGGATTAGTATTTGCGTTCGTGTCAAATTGCGAACTGATGGACGACGGATCAATGATGGATTGTCAAATGTGGATCGTAGGAGAACAGAGGAGAAAGGAAAGAAGCCAGCTCACCAGCCAGCCAAAGCAAGCCAAGGCAGAAGGGCAGCAGAATTGCTTGTTAAGTTTGGTGTGTAAGAGATGCAAGAAGAGAAAAGAAAAGTGATAAATCATCAGATGGGGAAGAGAAATTCTGGGGCAAGTGGCAGCAGCCTCTTTGTTGTATGTGGTTCTGGTTGACATGTATAATCCCATGTATCCACACAGCAACCCTCCCCCCCTTCTCTCCGTCCCATGTCCACGGTTCCTCTTCCTCAACCGTTGTTGCTGCTGCCGGGCGGGTAGACAGACAGGAATTAAGGAGGATTCTAGCCGTAGCCGGTAAACAACCAACAGAACGGCAGACGGACGGGAGGGAGTATTCTCGGACGGTGGGAGAAGAGAAGAAAAAGGGTTGTCAACGAACGGATGGATGGATGTGAGCAGGCTGCGGGAGAATAATGAATGGATTAACAGCTGAAGCAGCATCAATGAATGAATGAATGACATCCTTCATCAATTTAGACCCCTGCCGTGGCCGCCATGAAAGCTTGGAGCATGGATCCATGCCATTGTCATCCGCTCCCTTCATCATGACCATCCAGATAGTAATCTCACAACTCAGGCTGGAGTTTTGATGAAGGACGATGTGATAACCAATGACAGCATCCCGGACAGTCAAACCAACACATTTCCATTCTCCCAACACCATCAACGATCGCAGACCGACCGTCAACCACAACCACCATCACTGGCTCACCAACCCATCAATAAAAAAGACGAACAGCGCATGTCTCGGGAATGCGCCGCAAGCGGGGGACGCATGCCATACTCTGGAATCTGGTTCCCCTACTCTCTCTGTTGCGCCGTTGTGTGTATGTGTGGTTTTTTGGGGGGGGGGGGGAGGGGGGCAGAGAAGGGAAGGGTATTGGGGTATACCAATACAGTTTTCTTTGTCCGCAGCGCGTTTGCTCCTCATTCCGTTCGCGGCAACTCCAGGACGTATGGCAGGGGTCCCGGTACTACCAGGGAGACAACAACAAGAACAGGAACAGTATCTTTTTTCTGGGTCGCGCCTAGTAAAGCAATGGAATTAGGTTGCGTTGGGGTCGACTATAACCAACAGTCTGTCGGTCGGTTTGAGGAGAGGGTATCAGGTTCGCCTGCCCGACGAAATTGGATCAGAATCTCGAGAGAGGACAGAGCAATTAGCTCTGCTAACAAGACGTGGGATATGAGAAATCTAAGTTGAGCAAAGTTTTTTCCTCTATGGTCAATCACTAACGTCGGCTGGCAAAATCCAACCGTTGACCAACTGATAACATCACAGATATCATCACCATCCTCCAGCCCATACAAACCATTGACAGAGATACCCAGGCACCAAGCCATAGGAAGACAATGACAGTGACAATCAATACCTTATCCGTCACAGTCACCCATCTATTATCCCCCATCTCTGCGCCGCCCTAGCATGAGAACATCCGAAAGAACAAAAATCAACAGCATCATTGTTCTCTCTTCCCCCCCCCCCCCTCCCTCTCCATTGAGTGACGTGCCCTGCGCGGATCAACCATTGCCGTTACGCCATCCAACCAGCAGACGGAGCCAAGAGGCTGTGAAATGCAAGAATGCATCGAACCCAGTAACCTAATTCCCTTCCTGATAGGCACATACAAAAAAGACAACGGTTGTTTCTCGAATCCAGCTAAAAACAACTGCGAGCAAGCATAAGTACAAGCAAGCTTCTCTGAAAACAAAGGGCGCCTCCAACCAAACAGCCTGCAACAGCCACCGAATCGGGCAGTCCAAGCCACGCTGCAACCAGCAGCCCGCAGCAACGTTTTGTTGCTTGCTTGCTTGCGCATGTCAGACGTCTTCGATGCCGCTTGCTTGTGTCATGCCTGTCTGCCTGTCTGCCTGCCTCAGTTCTCGCAGCAAATCGGTGCTTGAGCAACCCCTTGCTTACCAGAAGAGGTGCTTTGCCCTCTTTCCTTCTTCCCCCCCCCCCTTCCCCCTCCCCTCCCTTCTCCCCGGCACTTGTCCTCTCGTGCGTGGAATCTGGTTCGATCGGAGTTTTTCCGAATCCATTCCATGTCCCTCAGCGATTACGGTAAGTTGGCGTCGCCTTTTTCTACCGTTTAACGTCCATAGATTATCTGAACTATCCAGGCCATCCACATGCTCGGAAGTGGTGGAACAACAACGAGTCGCGTGTGTGTGCTTGTGTAACCGCTATCAGCATTATTGAATCTCCTTGTCTAGAGAGTGAGCGGCAACAAAGCTGTTGGCGCCCAGTGGAACGGCGACACATTCTTCCACGAAGAATGTAATAGAATAGCAAAGGAACTCCCCATGGCAGCTCCCAACGAGCAGCTCTATCGGCAATCAACAATAGTAGTGCCAACAATTGCCTCGAGCCGCGCCAACGAAGCCAACATCATCGAACCCGATAACAGTAGACAGCAATTGACCCGGAGAGAACAGGAGAAAAAAAAATAAAAGTCAATAGGGGTACGCAGTACGTACTCCGTAAGCAGCAGTAAATAATTTCTCATCAGGTATGTATAGCAAGCAAAGCGCCAGCCATCCGCCGCAAACCAACTCCATCACCAACCCGGACTATCTAGGTCAAGTATCAACAAGGCAGTTTTGTTATACCTCGTGTATGAAGCACTTCTTGTTTTTTCTTTATTTGTTTTTCCCAACCCTGCCTGCCATCAGGAAACCCTCTTTCCCTGAATTCATCTGTCATAGAGAAGAAAAACTCTCTCTATCAATCATACGTACATCCATCCATTCCAGTTCAGTTCATTTCGTAAGCGAAGAAAGAAAAAAGTTGTGACGAATTAAGCGTTACCTAGAAAACGTGTGACGATGATGCATTAAACTTGTGGATTATTATGGACTTATGAGATGAATCCATGCAGGCCGCCGGACTCGCCGGTGCTGGTCAGGATATTGGCGCTGCGGCGCGCGTCCAGGAACAGCTCTTCGGCCTCGGCGATGTCCTGTACGTCGACCTGGGTACGACCGTTCACGCGGGCGAGGATGCTATTTTTTTTTTCCTTTGGTGTCAGCCTCTCTCCTAATAAGTCCGAGACAAACTACAGATACTAGACTCACCTCGCCGGCGCCAAAAGCTGCAGACAATACCGCAGACTAATGCGCACTCCATGCTCGGCAACCCGATCGACGGCGGCATCCGTCAGCTGCACGCCCTCGGTCTGGGCGCGGATGCGCACGATGCGCCGGATCTCGTCCGGCTCATACGGGTGCGTCGGGATGATGAGCAGGCGCTGCAAGAAGTCGGGAGGGATGCCGTGCGCCGCCTTGAGGTCGTCGGCGCCACGAATCGTCGCGATGCCACGGTTCGAGGCGAGCACCACGATCGGGGCGATAGGGGACTCCAGGGCTTTGTTCAGGTAGGTAAAGCACTCGATGTCGAGCATGTGCGCCTGCAGTCGTTAGCCTTGTGTGTGTATGAGAGACTTGAGGGCAGAAGCATACCTCATCGATGAAGAGAACGCCCGGAATCAGCTCCGCCACGCCCTGGTTAATATATTTCTGCACGACTTTGTTGATCTCCATGCGCAGCTTGTCCGTGATTTCCGTCATCTTGGGCTTCATGAGCTGGCCCATCATGGAGATGATATCCTGGCCACCCTGGGGGCGCGCATTCGCCACATCAAGATCATGCAGCGTCACGTCCTGCACAATCTCCTTCTTCTTGTGCACCTCGCCCTTGGGAATCGGCACGTACTCCTCCGCCTCAAGATCAAACTCCGTTGCATACGCATCCGACCTCCCCACACGCTTGCACGCGCCCGTATTCGTCTCAATGTAAATCACATCGCCGACCTGCACACGCTCCTTCTGAATCGCTTCGTAAATGCTTGGATCCAGGCGTAGCTTCTTCTGACCTCTGGCGCTCTTGAGCCCAATCAGCAGGGTGCTAATCGTCTTTCCGTACCCGCCCAACGGGTTCTCCGCCTCCTCCGGCGTCATCTCCGTCACCTCGCCCTCATACACATCCTTAGTCTCCCTGACTCTCAACCCAATCGCCCGTCTAAAATTCTCCATCAACACCTCCGTCTTTTTGACTTCAGTCGAGTAGATCTCACTGCCGGTAATCGGACAAAACGGGATCTTGGTGCCCAGCTCCTGGGAGATTGCCAGAGCCAGCGCCGTCTTGCCGGTGCCCGGGCCGCCCGCGAGCAACACGCCGCGGCCTGCCATCTTGTGTGCCTTGATCAGGTCGACGACTACGCCACATGCTTCTCGCGCCGCGCATTGCCCGACAAAACCGGCCGCTTGCTTCTCGGCGATGCCCGACGAGTTGAGGCCAAGCCCTTTGATGTGCGTGTGGGCGGCCGTGCGGTGGTCGCGGGTGTTGCCGCGGACCTCGCTGATTTGGACCATGCTTGGTTTTAATCGATTAAGTACTCGCGACTCGGTAGGTTTGTGAGATTCAATAGTTAGGAAGGTGGAATTGAGGTCGTAATCGAGCCGCGAAGATGGCGGTTGGTGGGATTTTGGTTGATGGGTTTTGGACTTGAATTTGGACTTTTTGGCGTTGCTGCCGCGACACGGACTCTGGAAGGTTCAACGCGTGGTGGTCCGTGCGCAGTGGGACTGGGGTCCACTGTGAACTTCACTCTCAGGCTGAGAGCTGAACTCACAACTGTCATTAAAACTTATTTGAGCTTTTTTCTTGCTGATGTGTCTCTTTTTTTTTCTTGTTTTTTTTTTTCGATCTGACTTGTCATTTGGTTATTTCAGCATTGACCATGATTGCCCATTGTGCTAACTGCTAATTGATTGCTAATTGATAACCTCTTCCCAAGAAGCACCTCCAGCACCCATCACATTCTCGACTTACACCCCCGTTTGCTTGCCTCTCTCCCCATCTATTGGCCCTCTCTCAATATCACAGCAGCCATTCTGCTTGCTACACGCCTCGTCTCTTCGAAACCAAGCAACCCATGCTCGCCAACCCTCAGCCGCTGTGGTGTGGTGTGATCATTGTTCCTCAATGAGTGCCGATCCTTTCCTCTCACCGGCATCCATACCCCTCCCCCATGGCATCGTTTCACTCACTCTCCCCCCTTTCCCCCCCCCTCTCTCTCCTTCTCTCCCTTGACCCCCCACAATCCCCCCTGCCCCCCTTTATAACCATCCTCTGCACTCTCCCTCCAACAGCCCCTCCCACAGAGGTTCAATGCCTCAGTGGGAGTGGGCGGCGGCGCAGGAAAAGTTCAACCTGCGTCCGAGGAGTCTGAGCACTCAACTCACCTCAAGAACGTTGGGTGTTCGACTCCCGGATAGATCCTGCATCTGCCCGACTCGAAAAGAGGCGCCCCTCTTCTCTTTCGAGCAAAGGACAAGCCCTCCTGCGTATACGTAGGTAGAGCCGCGTCTCCCGGAGTAAAACCCTGGCGAGGGTTTTCGTAGCTGGTCACCTCTGGCGAGTTGGCCGGTGAGCTTTTTTTTTTTTTGTTTGGATTAAAACAGATGGTCCGTCTTGTTGCTGGGTAACGCTGTGTCCTTCCGGTCAAAGGTTGGTACCAATGGAAATGCCTTTTTGGTGATGCTGTGTTGTTTGTTCCGTGGATCGAGCGTTGGGGGGCATCGACAAACATCCTATATAACAACAGACAACTTTGAACAACCAGCCCATCACACTAGCTGTAACTCAACTACATGCCTGATTCAATTCAAATCAGGACCTATTCAGTGAAACGGGAAGGGAGCCGCCGTCGCCTGCCTGCCTTTGCGAGTCCAGCCCCTGTGCCCTTGAAATATCTAGTGTATTCCGATATACTTTTAAGCTTAAGACACGGGGGATTGATCTTGTGGGTTCGGTGTTGAGCCTTTGGCAAGAATAGTCGACTCCCTTTTCGTTAGGCCGTAGTCACTGGAAGAGCATACATGGTGTCTGATGTATGCATACACTTTTATGACATATACCTCCCCAAGTCCGCGGTCCTCTTCCTACTGTGTAGTGTTGCTTATGTCCTGGTCAATGTATGTACGTGTGTGTGTCTGTCTGTGTTTTCCTCTGGTAAGGAGTGAGAAACCACAACGAGCACAGGGCGCCCTCCCCTTGGAGTTCCATGTGGTGTCATCAACTCTCCCTTTGGGCCTGTTTGCGCACACACACACATACACACACACACACACACAGAGAGAGAGAGAGAGAGAGAGAAAGAGAGAGAGAAGAGAGAGAGAAGAGAATGCATCT